CTCCGGATATGGCCCAAGCTCCGTCAGGAACCTTTCAGGGTCCATCAGTCGCCTGGGACGGAACCATCTAGGCGGTTCCGTCTCCCTGCGGCGAGGAGGCGCGGTCCGGAAGTCCATCCTTAGGAGCGAATGGTCTGACCATGACAAGGGCTCAACAACTATTTCCCCTACTGTCAGATCATTCTGCCACTGGCCAGAGTCCGACTCAGAGTCGGACTCAGCTTCCCAGCACAGCTGGCTCTCAGCTCAATCACGAGTGAAAGGACCAGCCTCCTCATCCGTCTGTAACCCCTGCAGCTCATCAGAGCCTCCCTCCGACTCTGATGGCTCTCCAGGCCCCTCCTCCTCCTCTGATTCCCCAGACTCAACTACCGGGATCACAGGCTGGCACGGAATCACAACAGCAGTGTGGGGTGTTTCAGGCAGGTGGGAGAGACCCTGCACAGGTTTTTGTTCAGGATTGGAAAATCCCACTTGGATTTCAGCAGAGAGGATTTTTAGTTCCCTAGCAGAGAGGCAGCAGGGTTAAGGAACGAAGCACAGGGCACCTCAGAGGGGGTGGGAAAACCCTGAGGAACTGCACACAAGTGACTCTCTGCTCAGGGGTCGCAAATCGTGCTTGGATTTCGGCAGGGAGCTATCAATGGCTACCAATACGAGCCAGCTGTTTGTTACCTCTCGAGTCTTAGGGAGCAGGCCTGCATATGTGATTGCCAGAAATGGACAATGGAAGGGGACTGGCCACTGTGGGACTCTGAATGCCAGAGCAGAAAAACCACCATCCAGATCCAGCATGATTCTTCTGAAGATGTTCGGCAGCTACTGCTTTCTCATTAGGTAGCCGGTATTTAAATATCTTATTTAAGAGCTGTAGTGGTGCAGTGGCTGGAATGCAATATTGTAGGCTAACTCTGCCCACTGCCAGACGTTCGATCCTGACCAGCTCAAGCTTAACTCGTCCTTCCATCCTTCCAAGGTCAGTAAAATGAGGACCCAGATTGTTGGGGGCAATAGGCTGACTCTGTAAACTGCTTAGAGAGGGCTGTAAAGCACTATGAAGCGGGTATATAAGTCTACGTGCTATGGCTATTTGCAGGTTCTACCCCGTCAAGTTAATCTGAAAAGTACCAACACACCTCCCCATTGTCCTTGTCAATGCTGTGCGATTCATCCAGGATGCGGTCAACCTCCACGTAGTCTGGGTTGAAAGGCTCCTCATCCTAAAGAGGCAGGATAGCAGTGTAAGGTAGTGTGTGACTTCTGCAGGAGTTATTACTAGCAACTGGAATTAAACAAGCCTCCAGTCTGCTTAGGTTTCTATCGTCGCGGGTACCTCATGAAAGAAGTGTCTCATCTGAGCCATTTTGGTCTTAAACCGTTTGAGCTTCTGGTGGATCCTCTTATCCTTCTCCAGTTGAGCAATGGTGGCCCATTCACAGTGCAAGTAAGAGCTTGGGGAAGAATTGGAACAGAAAGTTGGGGGAGAAAAGAGAGAAGGGTATTGTAAATGATCAGCGTCCAAAAGAAAAGTATTGGATCAATAGAAAGAGGTGGGATCCTTGGTGCTCTTGGGTGAGTTTCTTGCAAATGCTTCATTACCCAACTACGTAACCATCCTCACTTATACAGGTACTCTGTAACATCAACACTGATATTACCTAGCTGGGTAATGAAATGACTGCAAGAAAATAGCCAAGTTTCAAGAGAATACCAGGGATCCCACAGTTCAACCGCGAGAGTGATCTGGCTCCAGAACTTCATTCTTTCCCAAAACTGGGTCAATCCAAGCATTCCGTTAGCGTTTTGGGGCACTTGCTTTGATGGGATGGGAAACAATGGTACAAACACACCTTTCACACCTTCTGTTAAACGGCCCAGTGGTGGGGGGAATGTTTGAAAGTGGAGGGGGGTGGTGTACTTACTAGTTTTTGTACTTCACAAAGAATTCTTCTGCTTCTGTGAACTGCCCATTGGGTAGCTGCCGATGGAAGAAAGAAACAAACAAAATCAGAGAACTGAAGGCATAGGGCAGTTGTTCCAGCTAAGGAGGATAGCAGAATAACAGAGTGGGAAGGGACCTTGGAGGTCTTCTAGTTGTAGGTTTCCTGCATGAGCTGGGGGTTGGACTCAATGACCTCCAAGGTCCCTTCCAACTTTATAATAATAATAATAATAATAATAATAATAATAATAATAATAATAATAATAATAATAATAATAATAATAATAATTATTATTATTATTATTATTATTATTATTATTATAAAGCATATCAATTAATCAAAAGAAAAAATCAATCATCTTAATAAATTTCAGTTTCATTATCTCATTTTGCTAACCATTGATAAAAGTTTTCCCATGTTTTATAATAGACTGAGTCTTCTTTCTCTTTACTCTCTAACATTAATCTATCCATTTCTGCACATTCTAAAATTTTCCTAATTATAATCTCATCGGGTGGTATATCTTCATTTTTCCAGTATTGGGCAAATGCTATTCTCGCAGCTGTCAATATAAAAAAAAAGCTGTCTGCTTTGGTCAACACATTCTTCATCACTTGGCCTTGTTAGATAATGTCTCCCCTGCAACAGACGGTTCACGTACATTCCACCTTTAGGAATTCACCACCCTCCTCCTGTCATTGTTTGGAAAAGCTGCCAGCGAAAGCAGGTACAGGCAACTATGGAATGAGTCAGATTCGATAGGTAGTCAGACGTGATCTATAGCCTAACCATCTACCCATCTGTCTTGCAACATTCTATCCTAATAATCCTTGTATGCTGAGGGGAGAATTCTGAACCTGCATCTTGAAGGCCTGCTATGAAAGGCAAGGGCAAAACAGGGCAAAGGGACTCTTGTGTGGCTTTGGACCCTAACCCTCTCCTCCCCACCCACCCCCACCATCTAGAAAAGGAAATCCTTACAATAAAGCAGGGCAGAGGCCAGCTGGAAAGCCACAAGTCATTCAGCCCATGGCAGCAGATCAAAGGTTCTCACCTCCTTCTTCACCACCCGCATGGACAGGACCTTGTCTACGATGGCAGCATCCTCTTCGCTGGGGTTTTCCTTCGGGCAGAAAGGGTGGGGGAAGAAAGAAGGGGCAGCTTAAATAAAGTTTAAAAGTTACAGTCGTAAATTGAGGACTACCTGTAGAGGCAAACAATATTCCTGACTTCACCGCGGAGCAAACTGGGGCAGGAGGCATCCCAGATTTTGCAAATGCTGTGCAGAATAGTTGACATATCCTAGGCCGGGGGTAGGCAACCTTGGCTCTTTTATGACTCGTGGACTTCAACTCCCAGAATTCCTGAGCCAGCCACGCTGAGGGGAAAGGGAGAGGTTTCCAAGCTGAGCCATGCTGGCTCAGGAATTCTGGGAGTTGAAGTCCACGAGTCATAAAGTTGCCAAGATTGAGGACTCCTGATACAGGGCAGGGGTGGGGAACCTTGGCTCTTTTATAACTCGTGGACTTCAACTCCCAGAATTCCTGAGCCAGCCACACTGAGGGGAAAGGGAGAGGTTTCCAAGCTGAGCCCTGCTGGCTCAGGAATTCTGGGAGTTGAAGTCCACGAGTCATAAAAGAGCCAAGGTTGCCTACCCCTGGCCTAGGCCTTAGCAAATCAATGGGGGGGGGAGAGAGGTTATGGGGAGATGATGTTCCAGACTAAGGAAGACCCCTTACCACGAAGAACTGCATTGAAGGCAATGTCTCGCCCTCAGGGATGGGTTCTGGAGCAGGGGGTTCCGGAGCTGGGGGCTGTTCGGTCTTGATGGGCCCCATCACATCCAGCTCCTCATCTTCTTCGTCATCCGTGATCTTGATGTCCAGATCTTCTGTATATTTCTTCCGCTTCACCTGACGGTTCGAACGCCGTTTCTACAGGCAGGGAGAAGAGGGGATAAGTTTGAGGAAAATAACATGCATTTAAAGAGAAAAAAAAATTCACACCTAACGAAGGAGAATATTTGTAGCTCAAGGCTGAAATGAGGGGTCCTTGGTGCTCTCTGAGCTCCGCTTGTTTTTTTGCACATGGAATCAGCGTAGCACACAAGCCAACCAAAGCCCTTCAAAACGTCCCAAGCAGACCAACCCCAGAAGAAGAAAAAAACAGGAGTCATCTACAACAGGGCTTTTCAACCTTTTCACCCATTGTACCACTTTTGGGATATGGCAACATCCGAGTACCACCAGTCGCCTAGCAAGGTGTTAAAAACGTGACCCCCCCCCAAAAAAGGAAAAAAGTGATGAAGTACAGGTAGTCCTCGACTTACAACAGTTCACTTAGTGACTGTCCGAAGTTATAATGGCACTGAAAAAAGTGCCCCCGCAAGCCACAGCCGAGCAAGAGGCCTGCCTGCCCACCTGGTGGTGCTCTTCCTCCTGTCCGAGGTTTTCATTGTTGTGAGCATTTCTGTTGAGGATTGGCAGTGGGGCTGGGGTGGGGGTTTTTTGGTTTTTATTCCCCCCCCCCGTCTGCTGGGTGGTTGCAGCAGGTTTTGGTCACTTCACATGACCCTGGGACAGTCATAAATATGAATCAGTTGCCAAGCATCTGAACGTAAAGCACAAGACCCTGGAGATGCTGTAACATTCCAGCGATTGGTGCTTCTTCTGGGCTCAGCAGAAGCGCCAGGATCAGCGCCGAGCTCCAGCTGGAGCCTGGCGCTGATCCTGGCGCTTCCACTGAGCCCTGACAGCCCTGCAGCTCCAGCCATCTCTCACTCAGGCTTGTGCAGTGCTGCCACCGGTTCAGCTCATTCCCCTCCCTCGCTACCACTTTTCTAGGATGGTCGCGTACCACCTGCCAGGTGCCAATGTACCACAGGTGGTACCCGTACCACTGGTTGAAAAACCCTGATTTACAACATACAGTAGTGGCCAAAATTGTGGAAACCTTTGGGGAAAAGCGTACAGTAGAAATGCCACCTTTGCTTAAGTTTCCACCCATTTTTCTTCTAATTTCTTTATAACTGTAGCCTTGTTCACTTAATAATACTATTTTACATCGCTTTCTGGGCAACCAGTCGACTCTTTGCACCTTTACTTTAATTTTATTATGTTTTACAAGCTCACTAAACGAAAGAACACAAAAAACCCCAACCAACTTGATAGCGATCACATAACACAGTGACAACTGTCCTCCTCTCGGCTTCAATACAGGACATCAATAACTGAATCCTACTATGATCTGATTGGCTCATTGCCGAAACAAAATGACACCTGATTGGCTCTCTAAACACTCCTGCTCATTGGCTACAGTCAGATGAAGGAAAGCTACCTGAGATCAACCTAAGCAAGTTGTGCTTCCTTTTTCTGATTATTTGGCTATACCTTTTCATAGAATACAGTACAGGTAATTGAACGAACTTTGTTGCATTACATTCTTGATTAAATTATCTTTCCATTGATATATAATTTTATGGTACTACTCCCCCACAAAAAGTGGTATTATTAGCCATCAAACCTCAAAAATACACTTTCCCCAATATCTCAGGGGCTGCCACAAAGAAGAGGGAGTCAAGTCATTCTCCAAAGCCCCTGAAGGCAGGGCAAGAAGCCATGGATGGAAACTCATCAAGGAGAGAAGCAACCTAGAACTAAGGAGAAACTTCCTGACAGTTAGAACAATTAACCAGTGGAACAACCTGCCTCCAGAAGCGATGAATGCTCCAACACTGGAAGTTTTTAAGAAGAGACTGGACAGCCATTTGTCTGAAATGGTATAGGGTTTCCTGCCTGAGCAGGAGGTTGGACTAGATGACCTCCAAGGTCCATTCCAATTTTTTATTATTATTATTATTATTATTATTATTATTATTATTATTATTATTATTATTATTATTATTATTATTATTATTATTATTATTATTATTTTGGCCACTACTGTACATAGTAAGCACTGCAACCACCACTATGTAGGACAAACAGGGAGAAGACTGTGCAGAACGCATCCATGAACACCAACCGGCAGTCAAAACGCATGAAGAAAATTCTTTTAAGATAAGATAAGATAACCTTTATTGTCATTTTTATACTGTGGGCCCAACGGCACACATCAAAAATGAAATTTAGTTGCCCGCTCTCAAAGTGAAACACATACATGACGCACACCTAAACATACTATGAACAACATATGTATAGATCCACATCCCTACATATACGTAGCAAATAAATATTAAATACTGTCCATCTTGAATATATAACGGAAGGAGGAAGCTTGAGAGTTCGCAAGGTTAATGCTGTATGAAATGAAACTATGGCTGAATCTGGATATTCTGCTACGGATACCACGAAGCCCCCTCCTCCCAGAAGGTAACAAGGAAAACAGGTCGTGAAAAGGATGAGTAGTGTCCCAGATAATCTTATGGACCCTGCTCAAGCAGCGCTTCTGTGCTATGTCCTGCATGGGAGGGAGGGAGGGAACTGCCAATGATCTTTTCACAACACAGAGACAGACTTAACCATAGTTTCAATTGGGGAAAATGTGACAATCCTAGAAACAGGCCAAATGCAAAAACGCCAGGGAATTTCTAGAAGCCTGGCAACTCTGACAAATCAGCCAACAATAGACACAAAGACATTAACAACATCTATAGACTAAATCAGGGGTAGTCAACTTTGGCTCTTTTATGACTCGTGGACTTCAACTCCCAGAATTCCTGAGCCAGCTAAGCTGGCTCAGGAATTCTGGGAATTGAAGTCCACGAGTCATAAAAGAGCCAAGGTTGACTACCCCTGGACTAAATAGACTCCAGAAGATGGTAGAGGACAGGAAGGCCTGGAGGAACGTTGTCCACGGGGTCGCGATGGGTCAGACACGACTTTGCAACTAACAACAACAACAATAGACTATGTAAAAGTCAAGCAACCAGCCCAAAAGAGAAAAAAGACTCCGGCCACCTCTCCATCAGTAATTAGTACTCAAATCGGCATAGATTTTCTCCAAAGTCAACTTCAGACCAACAATCAAGTAAGCAATACCCTAATCAAGAAACTGCCAAAGAGCCATTAGTAAACAGCCCTATCGAAGAATCTCTTAAGATTGCCCCCACTCACACAGACAGGCAAGACACCAGAATATGAACAGACAGCAAACCCCACTCCTTACTAGCACTGATGATGTTACCTAGTCAGGATAATGAAGTGTCTGCAAGAAAACAAGCAAGCTCAGAGACCACCAAGGACCCCTCAAATTCACATCTGTACCAGTTACATTCTTAGATGGTAGATAATAATAATAATAATAATAATAATAATAATAATAATGATGATGATGATGATGATAAAGTTGGAAGGGACCTTGGAGGTCATCTAGTCCAACCCCCTGCTCAGGCTGGAAACCCTATACCATTTCGGACAAATGGCTGTCCAGTTTCTTCTTAAAAACCTCCAGTGTTGGAGCATTCACCGCTTCTGGAGGCAGGTTGTTCCACTGGTTAATTGTTCTAACTGTCAGGAAGTTTCTCCTTAGTTCTAGGTTGCTTCTTTCCTTGATTAGTTTCCATCCGTTGCTTCTTGTCCTGCCTTCAGGAGCCTTGGAAAATAGCTTGACTCCCTCTTCTTTGGGGCAGCCCCTGAGATATTGGAAGATTGCTATCATGTCCCCCCTCGTCCTTCTCTTCATTAAACTAGACATACCCAATTCCAGCAGCCGTTCCTTATATGTTTTAGCCTCCAGTCTCCTAATCATCTTTGTTGCTCTTCTCTGTACTCTTTCTAGAGTCTCAGCATCTTTTTTACATCGTGGTGACCAAAACTGGATGCAGTATTCCAAGTGTGGCCTTACCAAGGCATTGTAAAGTGGTATTAATACTTCACGTGATCTTGATTCTATCCCTCTGTTAATGCAGCCTAGCACTGTGTTGGCTTTTTTGGCAGTTGCAGCACATTAGACAAGAGCACTGGATACCCTCAGCTAAGGGTTGGTGAAGTCACATCGCAGGTCAAACTTTCCCCCAGATCTTAGAAGAAGTCAGCAAAAGTTCAGGTTCCCAGTCTGGAAGGATCAACTCTACCTGCAAAGTGTTCCATAGAAGAACCACGAATCCTACCGACCGTTCAAGCTTGTAAAATTGAATTTGACCTAATACAAGTATTTGCCTCCAGAGAGAATTCTCGACTTAACGATCACAACTGGGCCCATAATCTTCCCTGTTAAGGAAGGCAGTTGCCAAGTGAGTTTTTGCCCCACTCTGCGACCTTTCCTGCTACAGTTGTTAAGCGAATCCCTACAATTGTTAACAAGTTTTGATTAGGCCAAATTATTCACGCCCGGCTCCATGTATATCTCAGCAAAGCAGTCTGCCTTAATGAGGAGGGAAAAGGGGTTGGTGTTGTTGCAAACACATTTCGGGATTTGCCTGCTCTGAAAGCAAGGGGAGAGGCTCTCGCCACCCTCCTGATTAGGGAATGGATGAGAAGAAGCAGTTTGTTTGTTTGTTTATTTATTTATTTTTTAAATTTATATACCGCCCTATCTCCCTTACGCAGTGGTTCTCAACCTGTGGGTCGGGACCCCATTTGGGGTCGATCGACCATTTCACGGGGGTCGCCAAGCAAGGCTGTTCGCCATTTTTTTTGTCCGCCATTTTTTTTCCCTTTTACCTCCCTTGGGCTGGGCCAGCTGGTGGTCGGCCTGCTCCGTCTCTGCCGCTTGCCAGCTACGCCTTGGCCGGCGCAGGGGGCAGAACCTCGCATGCGCGGCGCTCCCGGGCAGGGAAAGTCCTCGACTTACGACCGGTTGGGTAGTCCTCGACTTACGACCGGTTTAGTCCTCGACTTACGACCGGTTTAGTCCTCGACTTACGACCGGTTTAGTCCTCGACTTACGACCGGTTGGAGTCGCGGCATTAAAAAGGTTAAGAACCACTGCCCTTATGGGACTCAGGGCGGTGAACAGGCAATAATAAAAATCACAATAAATATTGAATAAAAAGCCTGCACTGAAATACCCCATATAAAACCCCTAGCAAAGCCCAATCAAAACTACGCCAGGCCGGCCGCATGGAACAGATGGGTTTTCAAGGCTCGGCGGAAGAGGCGCACATCCGTAGTTGTACGTAGTTGGACCAAAGCATCGAAACCAGGGGCTTCCGTTTGTTTGACGCATCGTCTGAGCACTTTTGAAAAACAAAGACTCAAAAAGAGCTTTTTCTCTTGGTCATGTCTGACTCCGTGTGTGCTCATCTCCGTTTTTTTTAGAGATAAGATAACCTTTATTGTCATTTTTTTACTGTGGGCACACTGGCACATATTAAAAATGAAATTCTGTTGCCTGCTCTCAAAAGCCTACATATGCATAACACACATGTAGACACGCTATAGACCAGACATGTCAAACACAAGGCCCGGGGGTCGGATGCGACCCGCGAAGGGGTTTCATGTGGCCCGCGAAGCCATCCTGGAAACAGTGAGGGAACGGCCCCCTCTGCCTTGGCCCTGGCCCAGGCCGGCCGGGAGCCAATGTACAATTTTGTGGTGGCCATCTATGCTGAAACGCATTCAGTCTTAGCTCCACAAGGCCGTCCGGAAACAGCGAGGAACCAGCCCCTGCCGTGTCGGCCCCGCCCCCTGGGTGCATGCTGGGGAGGTGTCACCCTTTGTGAGGAATGAAGAAATGGACCATGCCTTGGCGCTTGTCCCGGTCCCACCTCCTTCTGCCAGAGACCCTCAGATCTGTCCCACTCCTGCCCAGGCCCCCACAGGCACCCTTGACGCGAACGATGTAGAGCTGGCCATGCCCACCCAGCAGGCCACACCCACTCCATCCACGCCCACCCAGTAGGCCGCACCCACCCTGGCCACACTCACCCGTCCCCCCCCCCCAGGGCAACCGCAATGCTGATGCGGCCCTCAATGAAATTGAGTTTGACACCCCTGCTATAAGCATACATATGTATATACCAGGGGTAGGCAACCTTGGCTCTTTTATGACTTGTGGACTTCACCTCCCAGAATTCCTGAACCAGCCATGCTGACTCAGGAATTCTGGGAGGTGAAGTCCACAAGTCATAAAAGAGCCAAGGTTGTACACCTACACCCACCCTTACATATAAACAACATATAAATATTAATCACTGTCCATCTTGAATACATAGCGGAGAGTGAAAGCTTGAGAGCTTACAAGGTTGATACTGTACGGAACAAAACTATGACTGGGTCTGGATATCCTGCTTCGGATTTTAGCTGGAGGAGCCAAGCGTTTGTACAAAGACAAATTTCTGTGGCCAGTGTGGCTATACGCCAAAGGTGCACGGAACCTTCTCACTGAAGTGGTACCTATTTATCTACATGCATTTGCATGCTTTCGAACTGCTCGGCTGGCAGGAGTTGGGGTGAGGACGGGAGCTCACCCCGTCGTGTGGCCCTCGGGTCTTGAACCTGGCCTGTCAGCTTTGCTCAGTGTCTTTAACCACTGTGCCATCTCTTGGAAATTGGTGAAAACAGAACTCTTTGTACGGCCTTAACCCAGCTACCCGTCCTCCCCCTGGGCTCACCTGGATGCTGGTCTCCTCTTCTTCACGCGGAGACTGGGCTGGCATTAGCTCGGCGTCTGAATTGTCTGAAGAAGCGTTCCGTTTCCGTTTCTTCCCAACAACTGGCGTGATCGTGCTGGGAAGAAGGAGAGAGAGTCACAAGTGGAAATGACAAGGAGGAGGAGGGAGAAGAAGAAGAAGAAGAAGAAGAAGAAGAAGAAGAAGAAGAAGAAGAAGAAGAAGAAGAAGAAGAAGAAGAAGAAGAAGAAGAAGAAGAAGAAGAAGAGAGGAAGGAGGAGGAGGAGGAAGAAAGAAGAAGGAGGAGGAGGAGGAGGAGGAGGAAGAGGAAAAAGAAGAAAAGAGGAAGGAGGAGGAGGAAGAAAGAAGAAGAGGAAGGAGGAGGAGGAAGGAAGAGGAAGGAGAAGGAGGAGGAAGGAGGAGGAGGAAGAAAGAAGAAGAAGAAGAAGAAGAAGAAGGAGGAGGAGGAGGAGGAGGAGGAGGAGGAAGAAAGAAGAAGAAGAAGAAGAAGAAGAAGAAGAAGAAGAAGAAGAAGAAGAAGAAGAAGAAGAAGAAGAAGAAGAAAGAGGAAGGAGGAGAAAGAAGAAGAAGAGAGGGAGGAGGAGGAAGAAAGAGGGAGGAGGAGGAAGAAGAGGAAGAAGGAGGAAGAGGAAGAAAGAAGGAAAAAGAAGAAGAGAAAAGAAGAGGAAGAAGGAAGAAGAGGAAGAAAAAAGGAAAAAGAAGAAGGAGAAGAAAAAAAGGCAGGTCCGCTGCTGTTTACCTGGGTTTCCCTCGGCCTTTGCTCTTGGCAGATCCCCCCTGGCCCCGGCCCTTGCGCGGCCGGTCCTCTTTGGGGATGCGCTCGCCCCCGCCCTTCCGGCGCCGCTTGCGCTCGCCCGTCTCTTCTGGGCGAACGCTGGGCAGTTCATCTTCGTTCAGCACCCGGGGGATGTTCTGCTCGCCCCGGGCTCGGGCCCGGGCAATGGCCTCCGCTACGATCCGGTTGGCCTTTTCCTGCTTCTTCTGATGCTCCAGCTTGCGGGATTCATCCGAGCCGCTCCGGCCACCACCGCTGGAGGATGGGAGGGCCGCTACCTCGCTGCTGCTCAGGACTTTCACCACCGAGAGTCCCGAGGAGCTGCCCTGGGACGAGCTGGCCTGCAACGGGTAACACAGCGACAAGAGACCCTCAGCGAAGCTTCCGGGCTTCTCTCCGGATAGGAAGCTGATCTACAGAAAGGACGCAGCCATTTTGAAGGTGTGTGTGTGTGGGGGAGGGGAACAGCCTGAGGTTTCCACAACTGAAGACCTAAAGCAGTGGTGGCGAACCTATGGCACGGGTGCCAGAGGCGGCACTCGGAGCCCTCTCTGTGGGCACACGTGCCGTTGCCCCAGCCTCGCCTCCCCCGCGACCCCCTCCTCTCCAGCAGCCCCCCTGGAGGAGAGTCGCCCCCGAGCGTCGCCCGCGCGGAGCAGTGAAGCCAAGGACATGGCAGCCAGGAAGCGTAGACAAGACTCTGCCCTCACGCCCCATCATGCAGTTGATGCTGCGGGGCGCGGGTAGAGGGCGTGGCCACCATGGCACTGCTGGGCGATCTGCGGCGGGCCCTGGAGGCGGTGAGTGGCCCTGTGGGCAGGCAGGGTGAGGGCGGAGCAGGGGGTGGAGCGGGGGCGGGGCCAGTTTTTGGACACTCAGTCTCTAAAAGGTTCGCCATCACTGACCTAAAGCCTCTTCCTCTCTCAGCCCAACCCACCTCACAGGGTTGTGGTGGGGAAAATAGGAGGAGGAAGGTGTGCTGGATACGTTTGCCACCTTCAGGTATGATAATAAAGGTGATAAAGAAACAAATATATTTCTGTTATGGCAGGCAGGAGCAACAAAGAGGAAGGCACTTTTTTTTCTTTTCTTTTTTTTGCCACTGTGGGAAGTAGGATGTGGACTGGGTGCCTCAGCAATACAGAATTTCCAAAAATCAGATACAAATTTGGTATTCTTTCTTTCTTTCTTTCTCTTTCTTTCTTTCTTTCTTTTTCTTTCTTTCTTTCTTTCTTTCTTTCTTTCTTTCTTTCTTTCTTTCTTTCTTTCTCTCTTCCTTCCTTCCTCTTTCTTTGTCTCTCTTCCTTCCTTCCTCTTTCTTTCTTTCTCTCTCCCTCTCCTTTCCTTCCTCTTTCCTTCCTTCCTTCCTTCCTTCCTTCCTTTCCTCGCCGTATTGGCAAAACTCTGGCGAACAGAGCTGAACCCTTCTTCCCAACTGACGGGAGAATGAACGTATCCCCTTACCTGTGGCTGCAGCACAACTTTGACGGGGACCGTCACCCTCTGACCTGAGCCCCCGACCACCTGTGCTTGCTGGACTGCCGGTACGCTTAAAGGGGCCTGCTGGCCGGAGGCGCTGACCGGGGCTTGCTGCAAGAGCTGGATCTTCTGCGTGCCCGGCTGGCCGCCGGGTTGCTGTTGCTGGCCCGGCTGCTGGACCTGCAGCTGGATGGTTACCACTTTGGCAGGCTGGCCTGGCATTCCTTTGGCCTGGCTCAGGGCGGCCAGCTGATTGCCTTGAAGGACAATCTTGCCCGGTAAGCTACCCAAAACAACTTGCCGCTGTCCTGGAGCATTTCCAGCAGTCGGGGGTTGCTGGAGAACCAAGGTGATGCGTTTGGATTCCCCCTGAGAGGAAGAAACAGGACGGAGGGTCAGTTCTCACAGGCTCCGCAGCAAAGAATGTAGCCACGGCATATATATATATTTTTCTATGCAACATATAAAGGGGGGGGGAACCCCACAAAAACAAAGATTTAAGCAGAGCCAAGATACTTCTCCACATGTTTGGGCTAGGAGGTTAGGCAACTTAAACTGGCTGATTTAGTTTTACATTTGTGTCTTCTGCTGTAAGTTGGGAAATGCGGTTTTTTTTTGTTGTTGTTTTTTGGGAAAAAGAAATCCTAAATACTGTATTTGTTATCTGGGTTGCTGGTTTAGTTTTAAGTCCTGAATGCCATCCCAAGTCACTTCTATGAGAGGTGGCTAAATAAATAACTAAATGGCCAAATAAATAAATTAATAAATAAACAAACAAACAAACACATTCATACTGTAAATATTGCTCTCAAGCTAGAACTGAAAAATACTTCTGACTGCTTTAAATTCCATATGTAGAAAAGAGGGGGAGATTGTGTGTGTATGTATATATATATGTGTGTGTGTGTGTGTGTGTATGCATATATATATATGTACACACACACACACTGTCTTCCTGACAATTAGAACAATTAACCAGTGGAACAACCTGCCTCCAGAAGCGGTGAATGCTCCAACACTGGAACTTTTTAAGAAGAGACTGAAAAGCCATTTGTCTGAAATGGTATGGGGGGGGCAGGGGGCTGGACTAGATGATCTCCAAGGTCCCTTCCAACTTTATTATTATTATTATATACATATACACACACACACATATATATGCACACACACATATACATGCACACACATACATGATATATATATACATACACACACACACAGTCCTCGACTTACAATCACAATTGAGCCTAAAATTTCTGCATTTAAGTGAAACAGTTAAATGAATTTGGCCCCGTTTTACAACTTTTCTTCCCATAGTTGTTAAATGAATCACTGCAGTGCTTAAGTTAGTAACACGGTTGTTAAGTGAATCCAGCTTCCCCACTGGCTTTGCTTGTCGGAAGGTCCGATCACACGATCGTCGGACGTTGCAAACGTCATAAATATGAAGCAGTTGCCAAGCATTCGAATTTTGATCACATGACCCATGGGTCATAGCTGTGAAAAATGGTTAGAAATCACTTTTTTTTTCAGTTATGTTGTAACTTTGAACGGTCACTAAATGAACTGTCGTTAAATCGAGGACTATCTGTATGCAGATGCACATGAACACGCACACATACAGGCACCCTTAAAAAAAAAAAAAAGCTACTACCAGCTTAACTGCATAAGCCACAGGAACACAAACAGATTTCTTATCGTCTTCGCTTCAACAAAAAGCAAATTTAAAAGCTATCCTTTAGCGGAATGCTTTGATTGAGCAGCCCAGCCAGTAAAAAGTCCTGCAACTGTAAACTTCAGCTCCTTACCCTCCATCCCAAGGCTACATACACAAACTTTTGGGTCTCATCTTTCCCACAATGACGCACACAGAACTCTTAAGGGGAAGCAGGTGGTGGCAAAGGGCTAAGAATCTGCAAAATATGTCCCTGTGCTTGAACATATGGACATGTCAGAAAATGCTAGGCTCTATCTTCCCGGGTGGTTTGGAATTTTAAATGCAACATCTTTATTTAATTTAAAAAAAAAACCACTGTTGGGAAGCATTCAAACGAGTCAGGTATTGCCCCAGAGTAGGGGTAGGCCACCTTGGCTCTTTTATGACTCGTGGACTTCAACTCCCAGAATTCCTGAGCCAGCCACGCTGAGGGGAAAGAGAGAGGTTTCCAAGCTGAGCCATGCTGGCTCAGGAATTCTGGGAGTTGAAGTCCACGAGTCATAAAAGAGCCAAGGTGGCCTAGCCCTGTCCTAGCTCTAATCAGCTCCTTATTCCTCTGTCTGAGCCAGCATGAGGGAAACTTTGGCCCCTTCATGACTCGTGGACTTCAACTCCCAGAATTCCTAAGCCAGCATGGCTCAGCTTGGAAACCTCTCCCTTTCCCCTCAGCATGGCTGGCTCAGGAATTCTGGGAGTTGAAGTCCACGAGTCATAAAAGAGCCAAGGTGGCCTACCCCTACCCCAGAGCAAAGTTTCACAATCTTAGAAACTTTTTAAGATGTGGCGGGCGTCAACTCTCAGAATCCCCCAGCTGGGAAATTTTGGGAGCCGGTTCACACATCTTAAAAGCTGCTATGGTTGAGAAAGACTGCTTTAGAATTATGGGCCGAACTGGCTCTTTATTTTTTTAATGTAATTTTTATTGTCCCAAAGGTGCTTTTTTCACGAAGCAACTGGACTTTCTTGTTTTTCCTTCGAAGACGTTTCGCTTCTCATCCAAGAAGCTTCTTCCGCTCTGAAGCTGAGGAAGCTTCTTGGATGAGAAGCGAAACGTCTTCGAAGGAAAAACAAGAAAGTCCAGTTGCTTCGTGAAAAAAGCACCTTTGGAATAAAACTGACCTGGATGACTGAGAATTTACACGGACAGAAGGAAGAGGGGAGACATGATAGCAGTGTTCCAATATCTCAGGGGCTGCCATAAAGAAGAGGGAGTCAAGCTATTTTCCAAAGCGCCTGAAGGCAGGACAAGAAACAACGGATGGAAACTAATCAAGGAGAGAAGCAACCTAGAACTAAGGAGAAACTTCCTGACAGTGAGAACAATTAATCAGTGGAACAACCTGCCTCCAGAAGTGGTGAATTCGCCAACACTGGAAGTTTTTAGGAAGAGCCTGGACAGCCATTTGTCCGAAATGGTATAGGGTTTCCTGCCTGAGCAGGGGGTTGGACTAGATGACCTTCAAGGTTCCTTCCAACTTTACTACTACTACTACTACTGCTACTACTACTACTACTATTATTATTATTATTATAATTTTTATTGAAATTTTTTTTAAAGAAGACGAAAAGCAATCCAAGTATTACAAAAGAACCAAAGGCAATAAGGGAAAATAGTGAATAAGAAAATATTCCTTCCTTCCTTCCTTTTTTCCTTCCTTCCTTCCTTCCAGTCTTTTTGACAATGGTTATACATGCATTGATATTTTACCTTCTCTCTCTCTCTCTCTCTCTCTCTCTAAGGTTACATAATTTTTTTACTTCCATAAGCTACCCTTTCTAATCTTCACATCCATAAATCACAAGTTCATATTTTTTTTGAACAAAAAATCTACAGGAAGTCCTCAACTTATAAGAGTTCATTTAATGTGCATTCGAAGTTACAACAGCACTGAAAAAAGTGATTTATGACCGTTTCTTCACACTTAGGACCATTGCAGCATCCCCATGGTCACGTGTTCAAAACTGGCTCGTATTTATGACGGTCGCAGTGTCCCAGGGTCGCGTGATCCTCTGTTGTGGCCTTCTGACCAGCAAAGTCAATGGAGGAAGCCAGATTCACTTCACAACCGGGTTACTAACTTAACAACTGCAGTGATTCACTTAACAACTGTGGCAGGAAAGGTCGTAAAATGGGGCTTAACCCACTTTACAAATGTCTCACTTAGCAACTGAAATTTTGGGCTCAATTGTGGTTGTATATCGAGGACTACCTGTATAAGCAGTTTCCAGCCAGTAATAAATGCAACGTTGATGTTTCCCTTGGCAAACCAATTATTTTTACCATTTTTTTGCGAGTTTTATCCTCTTCGCCAACTTGGTTCTCCGTGGTGGGTATTTTAGAATTCTTCCATTGTTGTGCATATTGTTGTTTGCAGCGGTGATCAAATATATATAAATAATTTTTGTTCTAGGTGTTTGTCCATTAATCCCAACAAGAAAAGGTCTGGTTTCAGTTGAATATTTCTTTGTAACAGTGTATACATTGGAAACCATTATTTTTTTTACCAGTTCACCAGGCATCATAAAAGGACCCTTTGTGTTGCACGTATTCCCAACATAAATTTGAAGTACCCTTATTACATTCTGGCTAATTTTTCTGGACTCATATACCAACAGTACATAATTTATAGACATTCTATTTCAAGTTGTAATAATGTGGATTTCAATCCTCTCAATCACATGTTTTCCCATTGTTTCAGCAATAGGTTACATCCAAAATTCTTAGCCCGTTTCTCCTCCATTTCATATTTCATGGAGAGTCGATACATTTTGGGCATCACGTGTTCATCATTTGTACAGAATGCAATTCCACATTCTGCCTCTTGTTCAAACTAGAACTAAGGAGAAACTTCCTGACAGTTAGAACAATTAACCAGTGGAACAACCTGCCTCTAGAAGCGGTGAATGCTCCAACACTGGAAGTTTTTAACAAGAGACTGGACAGCCATTTGTCCGAAATGGTATAGGGTTTCCTGCCTGAGCAGGGGGTTGGACTAAATGACCTCCAAGGTCCCTTCCAACATCATCATCATCATCATCATCATCATCATCATCATCATCATTATTCCAAATGTCCTGTTATCTAGTCTGAATCTTCCTCTTAGCTGTGCATACAAAATCCACTGAAAAGTAAATCGCTCTGCGGCCAATTACTCTGGATTTCATTTTATATTCCTATACGTATATCTTATATGCTACCTGAGTTAACTATTTTTGTACCTACCGTTTCTAGCCTGTAAAAAATAAACAGCACAAGACACATAAAAATATTTTTTGGGAACATTCTGCGTTCACATTTATTCCGTACTCTCAATATGGTACTCCTAACCCAGTAATGTTTAACATTCCTAGCAACATTAACTTTATTGTACCATAGAAAACCATGCCATCCAAACCTCAGACCATGCTCTTCAAATTCTAAAATTATTTTATTTCTCAGCAGCACCCACTGGCATAGCTTCTTTTAGATGAATAAAGAAAACCTCAGGTTCAAGCGGCTACAAAGATTCTTATTGGGCTAAGACTCTCCTTCCTTCCTTCCTTCCTTCCTTCCTTCCTTCCTTCCTTCCTCTGGGCAGTTTAGAATTAAAAAAAAGGTATACTACAATTAAAACAATGAAAATATTTTAACAAACTAAAAACAATTTTAAAAAGTTAAATATAGTGGTACCTTGGTACTCAACTGCTTTGAAACTCGTCGAATTTGGTAATCGACGCGTTTTGTTGCTAAACCTTTGTCCCAGTACTCATCGTTTGTTTGGTACTCAACGCACTAGCTAAAACCTGTCGGTGTCAGCTGCCTTGTGACTCACTATATTATTCCTTGTGGGGGGGAAATTGTTTGGTACTCATCATTTTTGATATTTGTCACACCTCCTGGAACCAATTAATGATGCCATCCAAGCCATTAATGATGAGTATTGGGGTACCACAGTACAAAGTACAGGTGATCCTTGACTTACAATAGATCACTTAGTGACGGTTCAAAGTTACAGCACTGAAAAAAGGGACTTATGATCGTTTTTCACATTTATGACCATTGCAGCATCCCCACAGTCACGTGATCAAAATTCAGACTCTTGGCAACTGAAAAAAAAAACTGCCTTCGTTTCTATATTCCTAGTAAATCTCAAATTACAGGTAATCCTCGACTTACAACAGTTCATTTCGTGACCGTTCGAAGTTACGACGGCACGGAAAAATGTGACCTCAAGACTGTTTTTTAACACGCTTGTTGTGGCATCTCCCTGGTCCCGTGATCCAAATCCAGATGTTTGACATCTGACTATTTATGACCTTTGCAGTATGCTGGGGTCATCTGATCCCCTTCTGACAAGCAAAGTCAACGGGGGGGAGCCAGATTCACTTAACAACCGTGTTAATAACTTAACAACTGCAGTGATTCGCTTAACAATCACAGCAAAAAAAGTTGTCAAATGGGGGCAAAACTCTCTTTACAAATGTCTCGCTTAGCAAAAGAAATATTGGGCTCAATCGTGATCTACTTGTACTTTCTCTGACAACCAATGTTGCCATCAGAATGTAGGAAAAACCAACTAGGGAGGTGTTAGGAATCTCTCCCCCCCCCCTAAGAACAGACATGTCAAGCTCAATCCGGCCCATAATGGGCCCAGATCCAGCCCGTGGGGCTGCCCCAGAGATGGTGAGGGACTGGCCCCTGCCACCCTGGCCCACCCGAGCGTGAGGGGCCCGGTGGTGCCCAACAGCAGTCCCAGCCCACCGGCTGCTTGGCTGCCTCTTGGCTGGCACACTCCGGTCGGAGCGCTGAGGCCGCTGGGTTGGCCCTCCAAGCGACAGGCGGAGGCAGAGGCACCAGGGATGGAAAGCACGTGATCCGACCCACTAGACTAGGGGTAGGCAACCTTGGCTCTTTTATGACTCATGGACTTCAACTCCCAGAATTCCATGAGTCATAAAAGAGCCAAGGTTGCCTACCCCTGCACTAGATGAACAGGGCAGAAGCCCGGAGAAGCAAAGCTGGGCTGCAGGGTCATGGCACCCCAGGAGCTCAAGGGCCGGACCAGGTGCCTGCCCTCCACCACCCAGGGCCCCAGACAGCCCGTGCCGCCATTCAGGGCCCCGTGTGGCACAAGGAGGATGGCGAGGCTCCTCCGGTGGACCAGGCCCTGGAGCCTGCCCCAGTCCCGCTCCCCCTCCGCCGGAGACTCCCGGATCCTGCCCAGCCCTGCATAGGCGCTCCCCCCCCCTGATGCAAGTGATGTTGTGCTGGCCACGCCATGCGTCCCTCAATGAAGAACATAAACCCACTTGCTCTGCTCAAGAGTTCCGCTGTGTTTCCTCCTAGTCTGCCTTTTCAAATTCCCCGTGGAAACACCACCGCGAGCCTTTTTGAATCGGACGTCCTTGGAAAAGACCCAGGTTAAGTGCCCAAGCGTTCGTACCCCAAAGCTGCTGTATGCTCACCTGGAAGAACTGCGTGCTCACCTGGGCTGGCGTCGAGGTCAGGGTGACGGCAGGTTTGAGCGGAGCAACGCCCGTGTTCCCTCCTGCTTGGCTCTTCATGGGCTGCAGCACGAGCTGCTTGACGGGACGTCCGGGCTGCACCAGACGGTGGAGTGTAGCGGGAGCCCCGGCTCCAGGGGACACTTTGGTGGCCAGCACTGCGTTGCCTGAGACAATGGAGACCCCGGGCCGCAAGGGGGTGCCCGTCAGGACCTTGGCGAAGGTCACTTTGCCCCCGTTGGCTGCCCCAATGGGCTGGGCTTGGATCTGGGCCACATGAGCGCCGGTCATGGAGCTTCCCACCGGGGCCTTCAGGATGACGATTTTGGGGGCTGGAGGGGGCCCGGCGGTTTGCTGCCCCCCGGCCGAGGAAGAGGGCGCAACCGTCGAGGTGTTTGTGGCGGACGAGACTCCCATGAACGGGTTGCCCTGGCTGAGAACCTCTTGATCCGGAGGGGCCTGCAGGAGCCCTGCTTGATCTTGCTGGGGCAGATCAGTCACGGACTCCGGTTGCGTATTGGGGAGGGGCAGGGTCTCCGGTTGGGAGGGCTCCGGCTGAGGGGCAACCTGCTGGTCTTTGGAGCCCCCTGCTAAGGAGTCCAGGCTCGCCCCAGAAAGCCCCAAGGCCTCCTCAATGGGGTCCGGAGCACCCTGGTTAAAGCTCTCATCAGTCAATGAGTCCAGGCCAAAGAGGTTAGGGTCGTCAAAGAGGTCCATGATGGGGTCAGCCATGACCGAAGGAGAAGACTCGTAACTCCTGGCGCGGGAAAGCAGTGACGAAGACGTCCTTTTGCCAACAGCACCCTTCCTTTATCCAAGACTGTCAATCAAGCAGGCTCCGCCTCATGAAGGAAGGCACACGTTGTCCGGGACAGGCTGGAGAAGAAGAAAGAATGGGTTAAGAACATCATCTCACCTCATTCGCCCTGGGCTCCTTTTAGTCCAGCTTTGTTTCTCACACAGGTGGTTATGGGTGCTGGTAAGCAGGAGAGGGAGACGGAGGCCTTGCCTACTCATCCCTCCTGCAACTAGAATTGGAAGACAAGCGGTTGCTCAACAGGGTTGACTTCCAAAACTGGAGAGGCCTGCTTTCCCCAAATAGACCCCACGCTGTCCTGAGGCCGTTCAAGGAAGCGGCCATCCCCACATTTGGCGGTCGGGAATTACAGCTTCCATCAGGGCTTTTCAACCAGTGGTACATTGGCACCTGGCAGGTGGTATGCGACCATCCTAGAAAAGTGGTAGTGGGGGAGGGGAATGAGCTGAACCGGTGGCAGCACCGCACAAGCCTGAGCGAGAGACGGCTGGAGCTGCAGGGCTGTCAGGGCTCAGCGGAAGCACCAGGATCAGTGCCGCTTTCCAGCTGATCGGCGCTTCTTCGGGGCTGTCAGGGCTCAGTGGAAGCGCCAGGATCAGTGCCAGGCTCCAGCTGGAGCTCGGCGCTGATCCTAGTGCTTCTGCTGAGCCCAGAAGAAGCACCGATCAACTGGAAAGCAGCACTGATCCTGACGCTTCTGTTGAGCCCAGAAGAAGCGCCAATCAGCTGGAATGTTGCAGCCTCTCCAGGGTCTTGTGATTTACATTCAGATGCTTGGCAACTGATTCATATTTAGGACGGTCACAGTGTCCCAGGGTCATGTGAAGTGACCAAAACCTGCTGCAACCACCACCCATCAGATGGGGGGAATAAAAACCAAACACCCCCACCCCACCCCTGCTGCCAATCCTCAACAGAAATGCTCACAACAATGAAAACCTCAGACAGGAGGAAGAGCGCCGCTGGGTGGGCAGGCAGGTGTCTTGCTCGGCTGTGGCTTGGGAGGGACTTTTTTCAGTGCCATTGTAACTTCTAAGAGTCACTAAGCGAACTGTTGTAAGTCAAGGACTACCTGTACTTTATCACTTTTTTCTTTCTTTTTTTTTTTTGGTCATCAAGTTTTTGACACCTTGCTAAGCGACTGGTGGTACTCGGATGTTGCCATATCCTAAAAGTGGTACAATGGGTGAAAAGGTTGAAAAGCCCTGGCTTAAATCATCTGCTGTGTGAAGAAGATACACGTAGTCCTCGACTTACAACGGTTCACTTAGTGACCGTTTTGAAGTTACAACGGCACTGGGGGAAAAAGGGACGTATGACCGATTTTCACACTTGAAGACCGTTGCAGCATCCACATGGTCACGCGATCAAAATTCGGGATGCTTGGCAACCGACTCATATTTTATGAGGGTCGCAGTGTCCTGGGGTCAGGTGATTTACCTTTTGCGACCTTCTAACAAGCAAAGTCAACGGGAGAAACAGAGTCACTTAACAACAGGCTTCATAATTTAACAACTGCAGCGATTCACCTGAGAACTGTGGCAGGAAAGCTGGCAAAATGGGGCAAAACTCACTTAACAAAGAGAAATTGGGGGCTTGACTGTAGTCGTTAAGTCGAGAGACTATCTGTATATGAGTCATGGTGGCGCAGTGGTTAGAATGCGGTATTGCAGGCTAACTATGCCGACTGCCAGCAGTTCGATCCTGACCGGCTGAAGGTTTGACTCCAGCCTTCCAGCCTTTTCGCTGTGGTGAAAAATGCCCCAATAAAAAGGCTGAGCTCACCAATAAGAAGAAAAAAGCAACACAAAAACAGTAAGGCCACACTTGGAATACTGCATCCAGTTTTGGTCACCGCGATGTAAAAAAGATGCTGAGACTCTAGAAAGAGTACAGAGAAGAGCAACAAAGATGATTAGGGGACTGGAGGTTAAAGCATATAAGGAACGGTTGCTGGAATTGGGTATGTCTAGTTTAACGAAGGGAAGGACGAGGGGGGACATGATAGCAGTGTTCCAATATCTCAGGGGCTGCCCCAAAGAAGAGGGAGTCAAGCTATTCTCCAAAGCGCCTGAAGGCAGGACAAGAAGCAACGGGTGGAAACTCATCAAGGAGAGAAGCAACCTAGAACTAAGGAGAAACTTCCTGATAGAACAATTAACCAGTGGAACAACCTGCCTCCAGAAGCGGTGAATGCTCCAACACTGGAAGTTTTTAAGACAAGACTGGACAGCCATTTGTCCGAAATGGTGTAGGGTTTCCTGCCTGAGCAGGGGGTTGGACTAGAAGACCTCCAAGGTCCCTTCCAACTTTATTATTATTATTATTATTATTATTATTATTATTATTATTATTATTTCATAGAAATGCAGCTGATGAACTTGAATTATAATCTCAGACTTCTCTTAACAGTTACCTATTATTTTTGTTAAGAATGCGGTATATTTATGTGTGGGTGTTTGCTATTTATTAGGTGAGCACAAGGGCCTCTGTCATTATAGGAAAAAAAATGGGCCACCGGCGATTATGTCAAAGGCTGTGCATCACGCACACTGCCGTTTGAAAGCTTGTGACTTTGCTCAAATTGTGCAAACAAGCTTTCACAGATCAAAGAAGACGATATTCTACGGCGTCTCACCATGAGGCAGAAATCTGTGGCACCTATTTATTTATTTATTATTTCAATTTATATCCCGCCCTTCTCCCGAAGGACTCAGGGCGGCTCACAACATTATTAAAACAAAGAAAGACCCACACACCCCACCGAATAAAACCAAATTAAAACCAAAATTTTTGTGTTGTGATAATTAAAATTTCTAAAAAACCCAGTTTAAAAATCCTCCCTAGGCCAGGCCCGCTTG